AGTATAAATTATCATTCTTGTTTAACACACATCATCATCAACATAGATCCATATTCCAGTGTTATCAAGAAATAAAAAAGAATACACTATTGTTTATGTAACAATTACTCCGTATTAACTCAAGGTATGTATGTAATCATTGTTAAAAAAGTTACGAAGTATTTAATTTGAATTTATGGTAGTGACACGGATCTAAAATTTGAATTTGTGTATTTGTTGTACCTTTTCAAAGTTCAAGAAACTTTGAATCAAGAGCTAAGTATCCATGATTCAACATTTATTGAGGAAGATAGCTGCATAGGAGGTGTTTACTTTGCTGTTAAAGTCATATTTAGGTTAAAAAGTTGTTTGCTAATCGAAAGAGGTGCTTAAAGTGCCGCTTACTAAGCATATCACTCCATATATTAATTAAGCAGCACTTTAAGCTATTTAAGTTTCCGAATTATCCTTACCCTTACCCTATTTTACCCCTCTACCCATCGCGCCCTTACCCCTACCATACCCTACCTTAGCCCGACCCCACCCTATCCATACCCCTTTTACCCTACCCCTTTACCCCCTACCACGCCCCACCCCCACCCTATGCCATCCTACCCCCACCCGTAATCCCTGACCCTTACCCCTACGCCATCTCCCCCTACCCTACCCCATCCCTTACCACCCTACCCACCCCCACCTGTTATCTCCTTACCCTACCCCTTACCCCTATTGCTTGCCCCTACCTCGGCCCCACCCTATGCCAACCCCCCATATCCTTTACTACTCACCCCCACCCGTAACCCTACCCCGACCCTAACCCATTTACCCCCTGCTACCACATGCCCCTACCTCGACCCCACCCTATGCCACTATACCTACCCTTACCTTGCCCCCAACCTTGCCCCTATGAGTAGGGTAGGTGTTAGGGGTATGGTATGGGTATGAAGGGTTATAGGGGAGTAGCGGTAGAGGGTAAGGTCGTGGTGAGGGTAGGGGTTAAGGGTGTGGAATTTGGGGGTAGGGTGTTAGGGTAGGGGTGGGGGTGGGGATACGGGGTATAGTGAAGGGTTAGGGGTTAGGGGTATGGGTACACGTACGAGGTGACTCCACATATATAATATATTTGTGTTCATGAATTTTTGTGTGTCTATGTATAAAATTATTTTGGACATTTTAATGTTAAACGGTGTTTTAAACCATTTGAAGTAAACATGAGCTTACAACACTTCTTATTTTATGTGACACTTATTAACACGAGTCTTAATAAGTACCGTTTAGTAACCGGTGAAGTAACGTGTCCATAGTATTGCGTACTTTTGAAATCAAAAGAGAAAATTCCCGAATTAAGAGTAAAAATGTTCCAATAATATTTATTGGTAAAACCCTTACATTCATTAAGTCGTCTTATAAATTTGTCACTTACTTTTATTTACATACCAAAAATGGAAAGTGGAAAACCATTTTGGTACAACCAAAATTGGAAATTTTGCAAAACAAATTGGGACAGAAGGAGTATGTGTTTTTTTTAACCGATAAAAACTTGAATGTGTTGGTCACTAAGATTCAACTTCATCGACACTGGCCTTGTTTGGTAAATGGCTGTTAGTTGGTTGTGTCAACTGTTTCCTAACAGCTGTTGCTGTTAGCTGGTTGTGTCAGCTGTTTCCTAACAGCTGGTTGTGTTAGCTGTTTTGACCGGCTGGTTATGTTAGCTAATTATAAATAACTGTTTGGTAGAATTGACTGTTTCGAAATGGCTGATAGAATGTAAAAAAACATAATAATACTCATTGTATTTTATTATTGCTAAGAATGAAAACTTTATAAGTATTGTTACTTCAACGATATAAATCATTTTTATAATTGGAAATTTTAAAATTTGTTGAATAAAATCTATTTTAATATTTACTCATCATACTGCAAAAATTTATAGTATCTAATTTTATAATCACTCAATCATCTAAACCAGAAATATCAAATTATTTCAAGATAGAGAGCATAACTAATAATATAAAATATTAGTTAAGCATATATTATTTGTCTAGATAGTACTACATATTTGATTAAACAAGTTTTGTTTAAAATAACTAGAGTAATTATTGGTAATAATTGGTATATTATAACCAATTATATATTATTGGTATATAATTAGAGTAAATGATTAATTTAAAAAGTGCTAACTCAAAACAATGAAAACAAAAGGAGTGAAAAAAAGAAAAATTGGTAAGCAAAATAATTGGGTTGACTAAGTTCAAAAAACGAGCAAAACCACAATGGGAATAAATTGGAGCTATATGCGGTCACTTTGGGAACTTCGAGCTATACCCTTATGGGAATAAGGGTATAGCTCGAATGAAGAAGTTGCTCCCCTAAGCTTCTTCAACCGTCCATTTCTTTAGTTTTTCAAACTCAACAAGCTAATTTTAAAAGTCATTTACCAAACATTATTATTAGCTTTCTTGACTAATCAAACAGCTGAAATAGGTCAAACAAACTAAAAGCTGGCTGATAAGCCATTTGCCAAACATACCCATTAGGCCATTTACCCATAATTCTAGAGCCTATTAAGTGTATGTATTCACTTGCGGAAATGATGAATAGTTTCGGCATGTGTAAGTTTAAATTACTTCGTACCATTATACATGCATATTATCAGAGAAAAATCAACTATTTTTTTTACGAATCAGTTAATAAAGAAATGATCGAGGTGCATAAAGTTTGGAAAAGAAACGAGGTTCATGAGTTGACTACTGCATACATGAGTACATATGTTCATGGACATATATCTATGAAGACTATCAACCATGTTTGTTGTACAATTTTTTGTACTCATCTGAACAAACACTCAAGAATAGACTACTTTTTGTCTGCCAAAACATGTTCACAGACATGTCTTATATAAGCAAAAAATAGCATGTTTACCGACTTGTGTACTCATGGATACAAAAATGTGTGTACGTTTTTTTTCCTATATCCTTGCCCCACGCCCCCACCCATACATACCTAAAGATGAACTATTGGGGTATATCACGTAGGGGTGATAATCGAGTACTTGGATATCTTAAGGATCGTGTAAGTTCACTTTCCGAATTGATATTTCTCCCCTATGCATAAGTTACAAGAAATTCAATCTAGGATAATCCTTAAGGACACTCTAGAACTTAGGCACAAGAACTAGAGCCAAATTAGTCGAGTATATGGATTGTTATATTTAATTTGAGTGCCAAAGTGATGAAGATATGTTGGATATGTTTCCTCTATCTCCTCTGTACGAAATATGGTGGTATATATCCATATTCACCGTCCTAGGCAGGTGCAACACGTTTAAGAATAACCGCAGCAGTTTTTGGGAAACTGCTGGAAACTGCCTAACCATTCTAGAACTCGGTCTAGAACCACAGAGCTGGTCTACTGAAAGTTATACCTCGAGTTCTACCTCGAGTTCCACTAACGTAGACACTTTGGAATTAAACTAGTTCTTATATATAAGTGTGCACTCTACACCTATTAACTTGTATTAGATCATAGTTCTAATTCACATTGACACTCATGTCATTTCCAATTACACAAAACGGCTGGTGACACTAAAATCACGGACATGAACTTGGTTGGGTTCTTTAATATAATTTTCTCAGTCACCAAGTCGTTGCACTAATTTTGACCACTAAATATATTTCGTTCATTATTATTAAAATTGAAAAAAAATAGTTTTTAAAAATTTAAAATGAGGGGAAATTTGTATAGTTTACTTTTTATGTGAACCTCACGGGCTCACGGTGTGTGTATCAATTCGAACTCAGTGGACACCATAATCAATTTAAAATGATTTCTTGTGTATGTGGAGATTGACAACATTGCGAACCTCAAGAATTTTTAAAGCGATTCAAACTTACTCTCTCAAAGTTCAAGTTAAAGTCTTGAGAATTCATTAAGAAAAATGTTTTGGTAAATGAGTTGTCTGTGACAGACAAATTTTCTCCGAAAGACAGACATGTGTACACATTTTGGTACCCCAAACAAACTCCATTCATTAAATAGTCCAAGTGAAAACATAATCACATGATACTAACAAAATATTAAAGATGTTTTCTTTTGGATTATTTTCAGTCCTATATCAGAACAGACTTCCGTAGCTATAAAAAAACATAAAGATCTGACATTTATTAGACCGGAACAGCAAATTTCGGTCCAAAAGAAAACATCATAATAGTGCAAAAATTAGTGGCCGTTTGGAGGAGGAATTATTGGCTAAGCCTCAAAAGCCATAAAAATACCCAAACACCTATTGAATTGGCTGGTGTGGCTGTTTTGTATTATCAGCTGAAAAAATAAGTGGATAGCTACTTTTTCAGCTGAATTCTATTATCCCTCCACTAAATTAGTAGAAGACACTTTTATCCCTGCTTTATTAAGCCAAAACTCACCTCTGGAAACCTACCATAGTGCTTCCGATTTCCCTTTATGGCCTCATCAATGGATTCACGTATAAATTCTAGTGGAAACCTACGTATACTCAAAAATTGGAAACCTACATATTGGATTGAAACATGCCTTCAACAAAAATAATTCCTAGTGGGCCGTATAGTACATTACGTATTTAATACACTCATACACATTATTTCATATGGTCTAATAATATTAATACCCTTTATGGTAATTACACATTCAAGCACCCACTTCAGTTAGAATAATACCAAACACTCTCACTTCAGAAATTTCAGTCATTTCAGCCAGTTCAGTATTTTCAGCCGTTGCAGCCAATACTAAACAGACCCTCAATGATTCAAATTACTATTCGAGTAGTCGTAGACTCGTGGTATAATGTACTCCGTATAAACGATAGACTAAAACACTACTTATAAAGCATGTCGTCAGTTATCATCAAAAGGACAGTTTGGCCGAGTGGTCTAAGGCGCCAGATTTAGGCTCTGGTCCGAAAGGGCGTGGGTTCAAATCCCACAGCTGTCAGTTTTTCAATGGCTCATATGTTTGTTTTGCGACTTTTGCCCATGATTTTAGGCCCAGTAAATATTTCTTGCAGTCCAATTTGGAATAGTGACTGCGGATTTAGGCTCTGTTTCTGGCCCGATCTCTGCTTCTTCTCATTTTCCACACATTCCGATCATTCTGAACGTCACCGCCGGCCGGAGTTTTTACTGTTCTAAAACTATGTCTCATTCTTTCATAAACAGACCGGTTCATAGCGTACTTAACCGAGTGCTTAGCATTCCAACTCCAGTTCACCGCCGGTCAATTTCGACATTGGCCTTCAATGAAGTCCGGTTATCCCCGGACCGGCCATGCACTTCCACAGCTTTCGTTCTTCACGGCCTCTTAGGCTCCGGTCGCAATTGGCGTTCCTTCTCTCGCTCTCTCTTGTCCTCTCTCCCCCCTGGTACTCTCTCTTATGTTCTAGCGTATTAGTTTACATATATCGTGAGGAGATGAAGTTTCTAAGTGAAAAAAAATTGTTCTTTTTTTGGATCTTTGACAAGAATGGAGGATGGTTCTGGTGGACCTTAGAAATCACGGTCGGTCGGCGGAGATTGGAGGGTTTGAACCGCCTCACACGATGGAAAATGCTGCCAATGATGTGGCCAATTTGATCCAATCTCAAGGCTGGGACTGGCCTGATGTGGTTATTGGCCACTCAATGGGCGGAAAGGTCTCGATGCAGTTTGCTCAGAGCTGTTCTCGTGGTGATTATGGCCAATCAGCTGAATTGCCCAAGCAGGTTTAAGCCTTTTTCAGATCTCCTGATATTAAGATACATATTTATGGAGGATGGGCAGGTATTATATGACTTGGAGAGAATACCATTCATAGCATGATTATATGGCGATCAAGACAAAACTGCTATGCATTTCTTTTTAAATACTCTTGATGTCTTCTTTTACTCAACCCTTTTCGAGTAAACTTTCCAAAGATTTGGGTCTTAGGACGCAAGATAATGGCCTCTTAGGGTGCCCAGCATTTCCTTTTTTCATGGAATTCATCTATGCTTATATTCCTTTCACCTAATGAGCAAGCATTGCCTTAAGTTTTGCACAATTGTGGAGTACAACTGTACGAGTTAATCAGGTTGTTAAAAGATAAAACATCAAGCTTGTTTTGTATTTCAGAGCCCACAACTGTGATATTTAATCTCTTCTGGCTGTTATGGTTGTCCTATTATTTGTGTTTATATATTATATATGATGTATTTCATCTAAAAATTAGAATAGTGGGTATGTATAAATTCATTGATGTATTTTCCATCAAGAATGCTTCTACAGATTTTCCCTTGCAAACCATTTTATGCTTCATAGTTCAGTCTCTCAAAACACTAATCATATGAAGAAAGAATTAGAGAAGTGGATGCTGATGGCGGCGATGTCATTGCGGTGGTGATAACCACACAAAAAAATAGGCCTCAACCCCAAATATCTAAAGCTGGCTACATGAACTATTATATTTACTCTTGAGGTCATCATCTACCAATATACCATGTGCTCATGAAAGCCCAATACACCTTCAATAAATATCAATTTCGGTCTACATTACTTCTATTTGTCACTATTTGTCTAACTTAAAGGCTCAGTTGTTTCTTCATTTTCTTAAAACACTCGTATTAAAATTAGAATATTGTAATTATTATGTACCTTTTTTCTTAAAAAAACTAAACACAGAAGTGCACAATTTGTCCACTTCAAAGTCCAAATCGATGAAAATTCGTTGGTTTAATGGATGGCTTTAAAAGCTAACAAGTATTGAAAAAGGGAAAATGGCTTATACATGTGTTTTTTCAGTACTATGAACTCTTACTCTTAGTTATACTTTGCACTTTCCGCTTACACTCGAAATAAGCTAATTGTTGGCGATTTCACTGTTACTAACTGCGTTTCTCTGCAGCATTTCATGGTTTCTTCATAGAATTTGGGCATTCTTGCTACACGGATATCAAAACTTACTACCTTACTTTCTTGATGTTAGCCAGGTATGGATTTTGGACTCAGTTCCTGGAAAAGTGGGGCGTGACAACAGTGATGGAGAAGTTGAGAAAGTTCTTCACACCTTGAAGGGATTACCTTCATCTATACCCTCACGGAAGTAAGGTCTATCTAGTATCTAATAGGAATTTAGAATGGTTGGAGATTTCAGAGTTCAATATCTTGGTTTTTCGTTAATTCTTTCTATTCAACTTGAGGGTCGTCCTTTATTTTAATGTAATATACCACATTTCTTCTGTGAAAATAGATATCTTGTGGCTTATAAATATTAACTACACATACGCAAAATATCATGTGTTATTGTTACGATCCCACACGGTCAAGTATGGGCTTGGCCGGTGGCTTATAAGCAATGTGTTCCCTCCTCCTAATCGGCTGGTCTTTTAGGAGTGAGTTCTACACCTGGGCTTATGACACTGGTATGGGCCTAGTATGGGCTAGGTCCGTAACAATTGTATCAGAGACATCCCCATCTTCCTAGTCCCGACACTCGGAGTGGTGGCCTATGGAGTGGTGGCTTGAGCCCTGGGGGTACCAACCGTGACCAACATAGCCGTGACCAACGAGGACGTTGGCTCTTCGAAGCGTGAGGTATTGTTACGATCCCACACCGGTCAAGTATGGGCTTGACCGGTGGCTTATAAGCAATGTGTTCCCTCCTCCTAATCGGCTGGTCTTTTAGGAGTGAGTTCTAAACCTGGGCTTATGGCACTGGTATGGGCCTAGTATGGGCTAGGTCCGTAACACTTATCTGCACATTCATACTTTTCCTTGCTTTGAATTAACTGCATGAATCAAGTTCATCATTTTCAATAAAGCCAAAGACTCATTATTTTTTGGCTTGGGAATATGATAGAATAAAGCAAAATGACTCACTAAACTGTCTGCGCTTCCTTGTTATGAAGTAACAGTCGGTCTATACAGTTTTCGATGTGATTTTGACTATGGGTCATTCAGAAACAGTCTTTGTGCTTTAGTACAGGAGGAAGACTGCGTACATCCCACCCCCACCCCTCCGTAGGTGGGAGCCTTTGCGGCACTGGGGAAATGATGATGATGATGAATTGGAAATGATGATGATGATGAATCAAATTCATCTCTCCATTACTCTTCCTCAGTGACAAATATTTCTCAAAGTAATTCCTTTTAATGTCATTTGTATTAAATGAAAATATGTCTTGTTCCCAGGTGGTTGGTAGATTCCTTGCTGAAACTTGGGTTTTCAAAGGCGTTATCAGAATGGCTGGGCAGCAATCTCAAGAAATCGGGAGATGAATTGACTTGGACATTCGATTTAGATGCTGCTTTCCAAATGTTTAATTCTTACTGGTAATCCGATGTCTCCATTTTTACATATATCAGTGTTATATGCTTGTGAAACATGTAATGTTTTTTGGTCATATTTTGTTTGTAAAAATAAGTCATATTTTGTCTAAGTTTTAGTCCTATTTAAAGTAATTTCTACATAAATAAATGAGTAAGCAATAAGGGAGTGTTTGCATACACTTAAAAAAGCGCTTTTCAGCTTTTGGGTAAACAAACTTAAAGTAGTTTTTCAAGTGAAAGTTTATGCTTAAATCAAGCACTTAAAAAACCGCTTTTCAGCTTTTGGGTAAAAAACTTAAATTAGTTTTTCAAGTGATAGTTTCTGTTTCAATCAAGCACTTAAAATCTAAAAATTGGAAGCAAGTGGATTGGTGTTTTAAATTGTTTTTCACTTTTTCTATTACACAAAAGCACTTTTTCACCAAACACAACCAATTTTTACTTTTTCAAAAACACTTTTTCTCAAACACTATCAACTTCCACAATTAAGTCTTTTCTCTAAAATCACTTCAAAAATCACTTTTTTAAACTTTAAAGTTGAAGCAATCACAAGCACTCCCTAAATAAAGCTACAACTAATTGTGAAGAGAAATCTCAAATGTAAAAATTTATAATACAAAAATGTGGAGATTGCATGATGTTCAATGAAAATTGAACATCATTGAAAGTTGGAGATTGCATGATGTTCAATGAAAATTGTCTAAATTTAAATAAATATAAAGCTTTAGTGATTTTTATCGCATATGTAGGATCAAAGCGTTAATCGTCACGTTAAAAGCAATCGCTGATAGCATAACACATGTTTCTCCCTTATAAAGGCTAACTAGCACCACAGTTGATTTAGGAAAAGGAAAATGTTAGCTGAAGCCTAGCAATCCTCAAATATGTGCCACCAGTCCACCACACAAGGATGACTTGTCTTAGACGCTTGCCAGCACTTTGGTTGGCCAAATACACCTCATGGGATTTGAACCCATGATCTAGCTCTGTACCAATTATAGGATTGAAGTGCTAACCACTACGCTAAAAGCAATCACTGATAGCGTAACGCGTCTTGGTCCTTTATAAAGGCTAACTAGCACCACAGTAGATTCCGAAATATGTTGGCTGGAGCCTAACGATATGTTCTCTAAATATATGTACAAACTATTCTTTTAGTAAACTGTAAGCTACTTGTTTCTAATATATACGTAGGCAACATCTTTAGTTGTTTAACAGGACAAAACCTTTTTTTATTTTAATATTAAAAAAATTGACAGCCAAAAAATATTAAATAAATTGTTCAAAAATATGATGATTTTGTTAAATGTATTGTGCATAAGTGTATTAAATATTCATAAAGATGATCTATTATGATTTTATCATAATTATTATATCCCTCCCCAGTTCCACTCTTTTTCAATTGAAACGAAAAGAAACAAAGAAAAGACACACCTAAAATTATGTATGTTATCAGGGAGACTGATTATTGGCCTTTATTGGAGCATCCACCCAAAGGTACAGAGATATCGATTGTTCGTGCAGAGAAAAGTGACCGGTGGGAGGAAGAGGTCATTAATCGGCTGGAAAGCCTTGCCAGCAGAAATACCAATGAAGGTGAAGGCAGGTTCTCATATCATGTTCTTCCTGATTCTGGTCATTGGGTTCATGTTGATAATCCCCAGGGACTCCTTCATATTGTGGCTCCGAAACTGTCCACTCTGGTTTAGCCATACACCCTCAGATCTATATCCTGAATTGCTGTTTTTATGATTCATTCCTGGAAAACTGGAAGGAATTGTTTTATTCTTTTAGGCTATGTTTGGAACCTGTACAATACTAGGGAAATGAAATGAAAGCTGAGGAAAGTTATTTTCTTATGTTTGATTTTATTTCAAAAAATGAATATCATATTGCTCCTCAGTTTTGTATAAAGGCCAAGATTTCTTAGTATTTATGTAATAGAAATAAATTCTAAAAAAGAATTTGAGCAAATAATAACATAAATTTGTTGTGTTTAAATTATTATTATATTTTCCTCACATTTTCATACTTTTCAATTTTTTTCTATAATTTCCTCTGTTTTTTTCCCTGGCATGTTGAGATCCAAATGTACATCATATATTCATTGTATCCAAATGTGGGTAACAATGCTCATCATATATTCATTGTAATTTGTAAATGATGATTTGACATGCAATTACTATTTTCCATCACTTCGTCCTTAGAACAATATATGCACCAACCCACCAACCCAACTTGCTAGTTATCCTTCAATCAGGAAACCCTCTCGACTATTGTAGTTGTTTTATTCAATTTCCCAAGTTCATCAGCACACTATTCACAATAGAATGTTGCAAAGCCCCAGTGAAAGTTAAGTTTATTCCTTGTGTCTAAGTTTGTACCCTAATTCTCTTTAAATGTAAGAGGCATGTAAGATTGTAAGTAATCAATGACTAGCTCAATTTTAGGGTATATGTTTGAATCCTAATTTGCTTTTGCACAACTTATACAAAATCTAGTTCACAAGAAGTTTACATCAGGGTTGACTGTAGGGATGGACTCGGGCCAGGCCAACCGGCCCAGGACCGGACCAACCGGCCCGGAACCGGACCGGCCCGCTACTGTGCGGGCCCAGACCGGCCCGGTGAACCGGTTGGTGCCCGGTTCGGGCCACCCGGCCCGGTGAGAAAGCGGTCCGGGCCCGCTATATAGTGAACCGGCCCGGCCGGTCCGGGCCTCAATGGTCAAATATTTTTTTTTAAATTGGTAAAGGCTCTAATAGCCGTTGGGAGAGCTCCCAAACGGCTCTATAGCCGTTGGGAGCATAGGAGGGGGGGTCTGGGGGGTTAGGGGGTGGGGTGGGGGTGGGGTATACAAAAATAACCTATTTATACTCCTATTTTCTATACATTTTTTACACCTCTACTTCTACAACTCTTCCTACTCTCTAATTCTCTATTCTCTCAATCTCTCATATTCAATCATCTTCATTCTTCATCTTCTCCAAATTCTTTCTACATATATATAATTTATATAATTATTATATCTACTTATATATTAATTATCTACTTATAAATATATATTTATACACATTCATATTATAATTCTTTACACATTATATATACTATTTATAGTTATACACATTCATATTTACTTGATATTTAGTTATTATCCATACTATTGTTATTTACTTATATTTACATATTACATTTAGTTAATATATACTTATATATATATATATATTAAAGTATTAAGTATAAGTGTATTACTCATCTTATAGTAATATACTTATATATTATATACTATAAACATTATATTATATATTACTTATATAAATATTTATACTATAGTAATATACTTATATATTATATACTATAAATATTATATACTATATATACTTATACACATTCATATTTATTTGATATTTAGTTTTTATCAATACTATTGTTATTTACTTATATTTACATATTACATTTAGTTAATATATACTTATATAAATATATATTAAAGTATTAAGTATAAGTGTATTACTCATCTTATAGTAATATACTTATATATTATATACTATAAACATTATATTATATATTACTTATAATATATTTACACATCATATATACTATATATACTTATACACATTCATATTTATTTATTAAAGTAGTTAATTGTTAGACTTGTCATTTATCTATTAAATTAGTTAATTGTTACATTTCTTTACATTTCTCTTTAAAGAAAAAAAAATAGTTACTTGTTACATATCATTTATCATTTAACATTAGTTAAACTAGTTACTTATTAAATTGCTACATTCCTCATTAAAGTAAAAAAAAAAGTAGTGAATTTTTACATTTGTCATATTAATATTAGTTAAAGTAGTTAATTGTTACATTTGTCATATTAATATTAGTTAATTGCTACATTGCTCATTAAAGTAAAAAAACTAGTTAATTTTTACATTTGTCATATTAATATTAGTTAAACTAGTTAATTGTTACATTTCTCATATTAATATTAGTTACTTGCTACATTTCTCATTTAAGTAAAAAAAAGTAGTAAATTTTTACATTTGTCAACTAGATATTAGTTAAAGTAGTTAATTGTTACATTTGTCATATTAATATTAGTTAAAGTATACATTTCTCATTAAGGTAAAACGAACTAGTAAATTTTTACATTTGTCATTTTAAAAACTAGTTAAAGTAGTTAATTGTTACATTTGTCATATTAATATTAGTTAATTGCTACATTGCTCATTAAAGTAAAAAAAAACTAGTTAATTTTTACATTTGTCATATTAATATTAGTTAGACTAGCTAATAGTTACATTTCTCATATTAATATTAGTTACTTGCTACATTTCTCATTAAAGTTAAAAAAAAACTAGTTAATTTTTACATTTGTCATATTAATATTAGTTAGACTAGTTAATAGTTACATTTCTCATATTAATATTAGTTACTTGCTACATTTCTCATTAAAGTTAAAAAAACTAGTTAATTTTTACATTTGTCATATTAATATTAGTTAAGCTCATATAAAATATTTGATATCATTTAATATTTGTTCAATTTTAAAGATGAAGCGTGGTAGACATTCTGTAGATGTGGGTAATCTCCAACGCTACCGCAAGAGGGAGATTGCGTCGACTCGTCCTACTTCACGCAAAGGCAGGGGTAAAGCACGGGTCGAGTCTTCTTTTCAAAGTCGAGATGACTTTAAAACGGATTACCAACGGAGAGATGATATGATGATGTCCGACGAGCATCTACAAAACCTATTGTCCCAAAATGATTCACGCTTTGCACAAGAACAACACATCCCGACAACCATTGATGAAGAGGAGCCCGAGGATGATGATGCGGAGGAGGACGCGGGGGGCGACGGGACTCACGGTACCCCGGATGATGAGCAGGAGTTGGAGGACGAGGGCGGTTCAACCCAAACTGGTAAGAAATCTAAATCTCCTATTATTGAAAACAATTTTACAAAAAGGAAAGACAAAAATACCGAAAAATGGTACGCAAGTTGCAATCATTGCGGCAAAGAGTATAGCTTGGGAACTTCTGGCAGATACGGGAGTCTCACAAGGCATCTTAAGTCCGCCCATTTTGTGGAGTATGCGAAAATAGCTTAGACAAGGGTAGGGGGAAGCAAACACAAATATCGAGGTTTGCAAATTCTCAACCCTTTGGTAATTTCTCCTATGATGATAAAAAACATTTGACTGGTATGTCTCATTTAATTGTTGAAGAAAATTTACCCTATATTTTTTCCGAAAGTCTTGCTTTAAGAGATTATGCTCAAGGTACTTTAAATTCTCAATTTAGAAATTATAGTCGCAAAACGATTAAAAAAAGAAGTTATAAGGCAATATAACTTCGAAAAAGAAAATTTACAAACATTTTTCGCAAACTTTAATGTACGTGTTAGTATTTGTAGCGATATATGGGAGGATACCTATCATCATTTATATTATTTGGGTCTTACTGCACATTATATTGATGATGATTGGAATATGCATAAACGTGTTCTTGCTTTTCGTGAATTCAATGATCGTCATACTGCGGATAATATTTATATTCTCATTGAGCGTATTTTAATTGAGTATAATTTGCTTGATAAGGTGTTTGCTGTAGGTTTTGATAATGCTAGTAATAATACTGCTGCTATACCTAGATTGCGTGAATTGTGTGGTGCTTCTACATTGATGGGTAGGTTTTTTTTATCAACGTTGTGCATGTCATATTCTAAATTTGTGTGTACAAGATGGATTAGCGGCATTAGGAAATGTTTTGGAGGTAGTGAAGGGGGGAATTAAATTGATTTGGGCTAACACTCCTGATGGAGTATATGGCCCAGGAACCCCCGGCCCACAGACTCCTACTTCTCCTGTACAGGCCCATTGAGCCCAAGGAGCATTCGAAGCCCAAAATACAGCGGCCCAAGTCCACGGAGGCCCAAAATACACACTGGGGTGCTTTCGGCTGCCTTGACTGAAGGCTCCAAAACTCACAGAATAGCCTTTTTGGGCATACGAAGCTACTGGGAGAAAACCACAGAAAGCATGAGCCTTCGGCATTGTGAGCCCTCGGCATCAGGGGAGCCTTCGGCTACACAGGGCCTTCGGATACACGAAGCCCTCGGCCTCACGAAGCCCTCGGCCTCACGAAGCCTTCGGTTGAACTGACTCAGGCATCGAAGATTCCCTTTTGGGACAGCCAACCACCGCATTTAATGCGACGTCACATCCACCCACCGCATTCAATGCGGTGAACATGCCACTGCCGGTGCCACCCCGATTGATGTGACCCCTCGGCCGTTGGATTACTGACACGTGCACTCCCATCGCATTGATTGCTGCTATAAATAGCAGCCCTTGTTCTCCTTGTAAACCACGCTGAGTTCATTTAATAAAATCGACTCTCTCTCCTCCTATTTGCTTTGACTTCTCTCTAGTTATTCCCGCAATAACCCCTCGGATAAGATACCCCCCGGGTAGACTGTCCATCATTTGGTGCTCTCGTTGAGAGGTCAGAACAATCAAGTAAGAAACCCTCCCCTTCACCAAACAAAAACACTTGCCAAAATGGGAAAGACTCGTGCTCAATCTAAAACCCTCGAGGAAAACCACGTGGCCCCTGGCGACACCAACGGGGCCGAAGCCTCCAACAGGCTCTTGGTACCCGAAGGGGGTACTATCCTCGAGTTGGAGCAGGCTGCCACTGACCTCCGTCAACAGCTCCAGAAAAACGCCCCTGATGCCCGCATTGGCCTTGATAGTCGAAGGAAGGATCAGAGTGAGAACCAAGTTCCCCCTCCGGCCCCGGCCATCGATCTTCAGGCTGCCTTTGCGGCCTTTGTCCAAAATATGGCGATAAGCTCAGGTGCCTTCATTCCTCAGGCACCCCTCCAACCCTGCTTCGGGGGAAATCCTGTCCATTTCCCGCCGCCCCCTCCTCTGTTCAACAATCCCATTAAGCGGATTGGCCACGCCGATGGGGTCGTAGCGCAAGACACCGCCTCCCAAGAGGTTCAGTCTAAGGATAAACATCACAAGGAGAAGCCCCGAACCTCTGCCCTCGAGAGGTTGGGCCAAACTCTAGAGCGCCGAGGGGTCCAAGACCGCCTCGGTGGGAAGGCAACCAGCAAACCGCAGGAAAGCGGAGGCTCCTTCTCGGGGGCCGAGGAGAGAACTCCCCCCGAGACAAAGGCAAGCGTCCCCT